AGCAAGAAATAATTCCATCAGGCTAGGGGGTGTTTAGTCCAATTGACTCTGGTGGTTTCTCTTTTTCTGGTAGAACTCTTTTCCACCTTTACAGACACAGGGCTCTAATATATCAGCCCTCTTATATCATACTCTTGCTTTAAAACACTGAATTTTTGGCATTTAAAATAAAACTTCCTCCCCTTGGATAAAGAGAAGTACACAGAATCATTCCTGAGACAGAGATATGCAATAGTTCTATTTATTTGCAGATCTCTCCACTTAACTTAGGTGTTAGAACATGAAAATGTACAAAAGTCAAAGGTAAACAATCATTCTATATACCTTTTCTAAAATGTAACATGGGTAGCCATTACATAGCAATCTTTCTTCAAGGCAAAGACTTAAAAGCATTCTTTTTGTTTTGCCTCTCCTCTCTTATCTTGAATATATATATATATATATATATATATATTTGTTTCCTTCCCTGTTCCTGTGAAGATTTTTTTTAATCCCTATCTGTTTCTCACAAAGCCCTTTTTCACGGTTCTCTTGATTAATTCAGTTGAATGCATAGTATATTACAAGGACTTCTACTTTGCTTCTTTTCCATATAAAAAAGACAGGTGTCAACAAAGAATAACTTCAGAGTTGCTATGTATCTACTCCGATAAGCTGTTTATGAAAAGGAAAGGAAGACCCTGTAGAGGACATCTTGTCAGGTCTTTTTCCTATAAACAGGACAGCCTTTTTGTTCTGGTCCTGGTCTCTAGACTTAAAAAAAATCCCCTCTCATACACTATACCCATATACCCTTATGCCCCAGTGTGCTACATTCACCTAAGAAGTTTTTTTGGGAAACAAATTATGCTCAACTTAAAACACCAAAAAACACTTCCACATACAAAGCAGAATACAAAAAGAAGATTCTACATGAAATCAAGAATCATTCCATATCCTTGCATTAAAAAAAAAAGTATATATAAATTCTATGTTACTTTCAAAACTGCCCTGCTTATCTGTGCTTCCTCTGAATTTTCTTCTGTTCTCTTCTGTGAAATTTAGAAAAATATTAAAATGGCTCCTTGTTTTGCATCACTATTGCTAAACCCTCCCTCGTCCTCTACTCTGCAACCCAATTAAAAACCTAAAGAAACAAAAAAAACCTTTGTAACAAATAAGCAAAATCAAGCAAATTGAATCCAGAGTAGCTACATTTAAAAGAACGTATGTCTTTTTCTGCAATTTGTGTCTATCAACCCTCCGTCAAAAGTTGAGTATTATGCTTCATCAGCATTCCTGGAGAAATGGTTGATTATCACAATGATTAAAATTCTTAAAACTTTCACAGCTACTATTTTTTAAGAATGGTAGATGTCTCCTACTCACCACTATCCAAAAATCACTGGTTTGTCAGCCATGGGAAAGAGGAACCATTTTTTGAAGACCTTTAAGAAATCACTTAGAGGCCAATAGCTAACTGATAACAAAAAGGGACTGAGCGCCACTTTTTGGTGCTTGAGTTGATATGTGGCACTGATACCTTCTCTTTAGGAGGTGTGGCTGGGTATTTGCAAGATTGAACAGAAATTTCCCCAGAAGATTTTCAGGACTTCATTCTCAGGTTTTTCTTAGTTACTTTTATCATTCACAGTTTTTCTAATCTTCATTTTGTATCTGTAAGATGGATAAATGACATGTATTTGTTTCTAGATGACAGAGGTAGAATTGAGATAGTTACCTGAGGCAATATAGTAAAATATAAGACATTGTTCACTTAAGTTTTATATTTACCCTCCTAATCAATAGTTTCTTCACCAGTTTAGAACCATCCTTGATTCTTCTGTCTCTTACCTCCCATATCAAATTAGGTGTGAAATCTTGTTAGTTTTTCCTCCACAGCATCTCTCACACTGGTTTCATGCTCTGCAATAAGCCCACCACCCTACTTTAGGCTCTGAACACCTCTCTCCTGGACTATTACAATATTCTTCTTATTGTTATTCCTGCTTCTAGTCTCTCTCCTCTCCAATTTATCTTCTGCACAACTGCCAAAGCAACCTACCTAAATAACAGCTAACACTTACATAATGTTTTAAGGTTTACAAAGCACTTTACACATATTATTTAATCCTCACACAACCCTGAGGTGGGATGAAAAAACTGAAACTGAGATATTAAATGACTTGCTTAGGATTGCACAGCGAGTGTCTGAGGCATGATTTGAACTGAGGCCTTCTTGACTCCAAATCCAGCTACTCCACATACTATGCTACCTAGATGTTACTACAGCCCAAGTCTGAACCTAACATTATTCTGCTAAAGAAGTTTCCATGGCTCCCTAGTGTCTCCAAGGCAAAAACCAAACTCCTTATTTGAGCATTTAAAATCCAGGACTAGCTGCCTCCAAACTACTTTTTAAGCCTTATTTTCCATTACTCCCCATGGCACCCATCTGACATACCTGTAAATTTGCAGTCTTTCCTCCCATGTTTGGAAGGTGTACCACCTTACTAAGCATCTTAGAAAGTTTTATTCAAGGCTTAGTTCAGGCTCCACCTACTCCTTAAAGACCTTTCTAATCTTTCTAATTTTTAATGCTTTATGTTGTATTTACATATTTGTGTATGTCTTATAATCTCCAATAGAACGTAAGACCTCTAAGGCAATGATTATCTCATTTTTGTCTCTGTTTTCTCCATCATTTAGCACAATGCCTTGGTATTTTTTTTTTATTGGTCCAGACCTGAGATTTCATTAATACAGGAAATTTCTGTTGAGGAAACTAGCCCTACCAGTGAAGACTGGCAACTGGTCTGTACCTTAGAGAGTTGCTAGGAAATTGAAGTCATACTTGCCAGGGTTAAGAGTTGAACCTAGATTTTCTCTAAGGCCAGTTCTCTATGCACTACAGCAATGGTAACAAACAAATAGAAATGGAGGTTACTCAAGTGTACATAAAGATCCCTGTGAGTTGCATACTGACTTAAGAGAACCACATATTAACATTATCTATGTTCTTATATTTTTATTTATTTTGTTAAATATTTTCCAATTACATTTTAATTTGGTTTGGGCAACACTTAGGTGTGTTGTGGCTTGCAGCCCAGTGTTTGACACCTTTGCAATACAACACCCTGACTTAACATAGTAAATGCTCAATTTCTTTAAAAGTTGAATTGCACAGGTGCACAGCCTAACAATGCCAGCCCAGGATCAAAGCAACCAGTACCATATCTGTAAAGAACGGAATTCTTTTGTGAGTTTTGAGGGTGGCCTGTGTATTGGGGATCCTTATTTTTGAGGTAATAGGATCACTACTAGTTATATTTGCTTATTTTCCCTTGATAGGGGGCAAGAGGGAGAAACATCTGCTCAAATGATTATGTAATAATACGTGTCAACACCAAAAACCTATTAGTCAATCAGCAAATTTCCTTTTTGGCTAAAAGTAAGCCTGTGATGGTTAAACAAAATAAAACCAAACCACAATGAGGGGAATTTAGTCCACTGGGTGAGCAAATCCCCAAATCTGTTGGAGGTGGTCTGAGAGAAGAGAAGTCACACTAACACTGGTAGTTCCAGAATTGCTTGTAAATCACTGAAAGTCCTGAAATTCAAGACTACAGCTGAGAGATACAAGTATAGTGAAAGAGTGGAATTTATGCTATTGAGGTGGCAAAGAAACCATGGTTTCATGATCTTTCCATGGGGATTTTCTGAGGTGAATAGAAAGATCCTTATTGCAGAGAAGCCAGAGAAAGAGATTTTGTCAGACACTGATAGCAACATTGGCTATGTGGTGCTTAGAGAACCTCAAAGTTCCATTGAGCTTTTAGCCATATCTCTAGCATGTAAGATAAATCTGGGGTGACCCTGAATCCAGGTGATAGTTTTTCATAAGACCAAAGTGACCCTGCCCACTTGGAGTCAGAGCCGGAGGAAAAGAGAACTAAATTTTTCCTAAAAGTTCTTCAAAGAGGAATTAGTGTACTCAAGTAGGATTCTTCCTCAAGCTATGCTCAGAAATGAAACTAAGTTTCCAAAAGGGCAGGGGTTAGTCATAAACAAAGGAGGTCTGAGGGAATCTTGCCTGTAATGTCCACTTATGGGGAAGAAAGGATAACTAAGAAGAGTTGCCTAGATATTGCAGGGAACCAGCTGGTTTCTAAACCTTAAGTTACCCTGCCTGCCCTCCCCCCTACTCCCCCACCCCCACCCCACACACCTAAGCCTATTGCCAAGATAGGTGGTGAAGCCCAGTATAATCTGCAGCTGATGATCTAGGCACATCCAAAGACAGAAACCAAGATGCTGAGAATATCATGCAACCCTGAAGGCCCTGGAGAATAGGTCCCTTAGAAATGGACAACCTATGTTTCCTTAGTAGGAAGACTATGATTTTTGTTACTTGGGTGGAAATAAGCCCTAATAATAATGCAAAGCTTCAGAAAAGACCTGACTGCCTCTACTGTTAGCCAACAAAGGATGAGTAGCTGCCAAGTTATCTCTAGACCCAGAATTCTGGGAGAGGAAAACATGTACAACTATAGGAGCTACAATTAGAATTTTAAAATAATTTTTTTCCTTCCCAGCAGGAAGGTGGGAATGAAGGGTCCACAATAGTAAACTACTACTAGATGGTAGTAAATAGCTACTAGATATGCCAAGAAATCCTCACAGAGGTGCCCCTGCTGATGTTCTAGCTCCAGTCCTGACTCTACCTATCCTTACACAGAAATTGACGTACAACAGGCAAATGGAAGAAAGCTTGAACAATTCCTTTCAGTGTTATTAGGTAGCTTCTAGAAGAGTGTTCCTAGACAGTCAACTTTTAACTGTGCTGCATAAGGTGGGAATGGGAGGAAGACAGTATTTTCTTTTAGGTGTTCAGTGTTTGATCACCTAGCAGCAACAGGAGCAGAGTCTAATTGAAAGCAAAGAGGAAACCTATCACTAATTGTTGGGGAAAAATTTTTTTTCTATCCAACACTTTCACCTTATTTTTCAATCTAAAAGACTCATATCTGAACAAAAGATTTTATTTGTGAGAATTACAAGCTCTAGAAGTGATTCTGGAGAATCATAATCTTGGAAGTCAATGTAAGGAATAGGGTTGTTTTGTGAACTTTGAGGGATCCTTTACAATGCCCAAATAGCAGATAACAAATACAATCCAAACGGGTCCCATCCTGCACACCAACTCTCACCACGTAGTTACCTGAACCAAAATGAAAAAGAGTCAAACCGTTAGCACCAACTATTGTTCAGTTGGCCAAATTGTCCTTTTCCACAACATTTAGCAACTGTCCAACTGATGTGTTGTAAGGTAACTGCAGCATGGTAGCAGCAGCCAGTAGATATTCTTTGTATATGTTGGGTCCTCTACTAGCTGTTATCCCACCTTAGGAAATTTCAGAAGCTTGACCACTCCAGTGAGAGGTGTAGGGTGCTGGGGTTTTAACAGGAACAGTCAAGTTGTCATTTCCCTGTTTCTATCTAGTTGTATAGCCGGAAGTACAGCAAAGCCCAGTTTCATTTATACTTTAAAAAAATTCTCATTTTTTAGGGTTTACAGAATCAGGAGTTTCAAGTACATGTCAAGAGAAAGTAGAAATATTAACAGCCTCAACCCCTAATATCATTCAAATGGAAATCTCTGTGGAACTTCCAATGTCACCCCCCCCATACTCCCTCAGGAAGCACCCTGGAATCCTTCATGGTCCACCCTAAAAAATGGGCTTACCACAAAAATAAAAAAACCAAACACATTACTAACATTAAATTGAAAGTAAGGTTCAGATCATATAGGTTTCCACTATCCATTCTGGTTACCCCACGCCTCAGGGACTAAGGAGAGAATAACTACTCCCTTGACTTCCAGTGGTGACCCCTTAAAAAGTAAAAACACATGACAACATACTACCTGATAGCAACTGAATATTCCAAAGCCATTGATACAGCAACTTTTCATCAGAAACAAAAGGTGACCCAGCCCTCTGCAGATGTGAGAGCCACTCGTTCATTTCTAACTCAGTAATATCCAAATATGTCCTAGATACAGTCGGGAGGGAAGGGTCTGAAATAGGTGAGAAAGAAGGGTAAGTAACAAGAGAGTCAATTTATGAAGGACCAGAGTTAGAGAAGTAGGTTGTATGCACAGTGGATGAAATCAAAGGCCAAGTTGTTAAGCACAATCCAGAAGGGCCAGAGGTAAAGGGATATGTCTGTGTATCAAGGTAAGGAAGTCAGCAACAAGTTAATAGTCCAAGGGAGCAGACAATTAACAGTCCAAGGCCAAAGCAAGGGTCAGAAAAACTGGATAACGGCCAAAGGAAGAGCCTGAGGTCAAGCAAAGAATTCTTAGAGTTTTTCAGTCTCAATGAGGTGGGCACCCCCCTGATCTTCTGGATCAGCAGGTCCCTGCTCACCTCCACTACCTCCTGATTGGGAAGTCGCTGTTTCTGGACGACCAGGAACAGTATGTTCTATTTCCCATCTGTTTGCTGTCCTCCTGCCAATTCTCTCTGCAAATCCTCTTTGGAAACTATATCTTGGCTGGTTTTCATGCCAACCTCTCTGATGACCAACCGTTCTTTCTTCAACTGCTTTTTGCTGTCTAGTTTGTCGATACTGCTCGTAATCTTCAGTCATCTTCTTCCTTAGTGTTTTGCAAATGGCCTTGTATTCCTGGCCTTTATCACCCCTAGCTGCCATGTCTCTCCTCTTAGCAAGGAGGTTAAGTGTTTCTTGGCTAAGGCGGTTTCTGGGCTCTTTTGGTCTCTTCATTGTGATGATTTTTTTACATCGGTTAATCTTTTGTAGTAAATGTCGTTCATATTCAGAATCATAGTCTCTATTTCTGTTCATTTCCCAGTTTTGGGATTCCACAGTGTGTTGAAACAGTTCTTCTTCAAGCTGCTGTAATCGCACACAGTGCCTTCTTTTCATCTTCATCCTTTCTTCTAATTTGGTGTTTAATTTAACTTTTGCCCGAACCAACCGATGATATGACTGCATACAGACAACTGATTCTGAAATGACTGCCACATCTGTAACCAGTTGCTTCTTGTCTGTTAAAATATAGTCAACTTCTTCTTTTACAACTTCATCTGGTGACCATGTCCAGCGCCTTCCTACTCTCTTCATGAAAAAAGTGTTCATGATATACAAGTGTGAGGCTTCTGCATATTCTACAAGCCTTTGGCCTCTTTCATCTCTTGATCCAGAACCATATCTTCCAACATACTCTTCCCCTTCCTCTCCTGTGCCCACTTTTGCATTGAAGTCACCAAGTATCAGAGTATATGCTGATTCAATTTGGAGAATTTTATCAAGATCCTCATAGAATTTATCTACTTCTTCCTCCTCTGCTATGGATCTTGGTGCATAAGCAGCAATGATTTTCATGGTGGCATCTCGGCTGACCCTCATTGTAAGCACTGCGAGGCGAGAGGACCAAGTATACCATGAAATTATGTTCCTTGTTGCCTTTGGGCCCACCATGAAACCAACCCCACCAACTCCTTCACTCCCCTCTCCGAGAAGAACCTGCCAACCGTCCTTCCATTCAGATGAAACCTCTTCTTCACGTCTAGTTTCATTTATAGCAAGTATATCAATGTGTATGTTTTTTAGCTCCTCCAGCAGCGTGTCTACTAACTCATCAGTGGACAAGGAACCCACGTTGAAAGTCCCAACGGCTAAATCTATATTTATATAGGGTCTCTTGGCGCCCTGGGGGCCTTTTTGCGCCTTTCCGCTTCCGCCTCGGCCCCCGTCACTGCAGGAGGGGCCGTCATAGGGTGGGGGGCCATTTTGTATTTCTGCCCGATTCATAGTTTTCGCGTCCAAAAAAAAAAAAAGGGGGGAGCACCCAGCGGGCTGACCTTCTGGTGACGAGCCTCTCCGCGCTCGGCTAGGCTGGGCCTCCGACGGCAGACATACAGCATTCAGACGTGTTCAGCAAGAAATAAGTTTTAAAAATATATATTAATAATTATAATAGACGTTTAACTAATGCCCGGGGGGGGATGGGGAAAGGCATAGGTAACACCATAAGATCAGGGGCTCAACCGTCGCCGGAAACTGCGAGTCGGGAAGATACAATACTGCGCAGGTGCGTAAGCACTGGGAACGAGTCCCGCCCTCTGCTCGCACGCGCACTCGCGCCACGACGCAGGCGCGGGGCGTGCGAGCCCGGGACGGCCGGAGCCCCGAGATCTCCGCCTCTTTCAGTGTGTTTAGTTTCCGGGGGCCGACCGTCGGGCGCGCCGCTGACGTCATCACTGCGCGCTGCCACGTCTCCTCAGCTCCGCGGCAACCGGGGCTGATCACTGCTGACTGGACTGCGGCTGGGGTCTGGCCGTCGGGCGTCCGGGGACAGACTGGCCGGCCCTTTTCGGATCTTTGTGAGGCGACGAGGGACAGCAGGCCTGGAGCGTCGCGGTCGGGGCGGGGGAGGGAACCTGTCCGCCCGCCCCAGGGACAGCCCGTGAAGCCACCACCGCCTTTTTGGGGAACCCGCCCCGGTGTCCAGGCCTCCATGCGTAAGTCCTGGGGCCGCTGGCCCATCTGCGGGTCTGGCCGCTGGTCTCGCCTTTCTCCTCTTCTCTTTCAGTCTTCCTCGTGGGAAGAGAGAGGCATCGGCACGGCCTCCCTCCGGGCCCCTTTCTCCTCTTCTCCTTTCTCCCCCTCTTCTGTCTTCCGCAGCTCAGAACTAGAAAAGCCCCTTTACGAATGAGGGAGCCCGAGTCCTTTAAACGCCTTCCTTCGCCTCGCGTTTGTTAGTCCAACGAGACTGATGAGGCGTTGGGCACGGGAGTTAGGAAAAAGTCAGCTGTGACGTTTTGCAAACCTGAGTTTCTGAGATGCTTTGTGATGATTCTGGAACACTAAAATCTGTAGCATATGAAACTAAGCTTGCCAACCCTACCCGAGAGCCCATGGTGTAGTCAGTCTGATGGGAAACTTCATTTCTTCTAGTTGTGAGTCTTTCTTTTTCTGAGCAAACTTTAAGGGTTCAGTTTCACGGGATTGCAAGGTCTGGGTTGGGAAGAACTTAAGTGACCATCGAGGACTGTAGTAGAACTCTAGTACAATCCATACCAGGAATAAAGAAGCACCCCTTAACATACTGGACGAGGGATCATCCAGCTTGTGTTTATTTTCAGTACTTTTCCAGACCTTCATTTTGTACTTTAGAATAGAAGGTTTTTTTGTGCCTTGGACCCCTTTGGCAGTCTGGTGAAGCCTGTGGACTACTTGGAATAATGTTTTTACATAAGTAAATACATGCATAAAATATACATACATATTACATACATAAATTACATTAAATACATAGGATTATAAAGGAAACCAATTATATAGAAATGCTGTTATCAAAGTATTTTTTTAAAAGATTCATGAACCCTGTATTAAGAAACTCCTGCCATAGGGCATGAATAATTTCTCCTAAATTTGAATATTTGATTTTTCAAAGCGAACTTTTTAAGGGTTCACTATAAGAGAATCACTAGTTCTGTGCTGGAAGGGATTTTGGTGACCATTGAGGCCAATCCATACCCAGAAAAAAAGTCCATCAATAATACACTGGACAAAGGTGCATTCATCGTTAACAGTATTTTATACTTCTGTAACATCTAATTTTTGAAAGTACTTTCTCATCTAGTATATCACTTGATTGTCATAACAGTCCTCCTCCGAAAGGTAAAGCTGATGCAGCATAGAATTCTCATTTTCCCAGAGAAAACTGAGTTACACTTAAGTGATTTACCTGAAGTCTTAGATCCAGTTAATAGTGGAACTAGGACTAGAATCTTTTAATTTCTCATTCCAGACCCTTTCATTATTTCAGTTGATTGAAAATTAAATGATAAGGTTATTATAGTATGTCTCGTCAGATTGGATGTTGTATTTACGTTTTATCTAACATTAAGCATTTACTGTGTGCCAGGCACTCTGCTGGGGTACAGTACAAAAGTGAAAACAGCTTTTGTCCTCAAGGAGTGTACATTCTATCAGGGTAGATATATGTATGTAAGTTTGGACAAAATGTATACAAAACAAATAAAAGGAAATTTTGGGAGAAGGCACTGGCTGGGGGAAGGGGGTGAGAGGGTGAGAATGAGACTCAAGAGAAGCTTCATGTAGAAAATGACCCTCAAGCTGAGTTTTGAAGAAAAATAGGACTCCAGGAAGTAGGGGTGAGGAGAGAGTATATTGCAAGCATGGATCTTGGCCTCTTTTAAAAGCACAGAGCAGAGTTATGGGAATGTTCTGTTTGAGGAACAGCAAGATAACCAGTTTGGCAGGACAAAAGAGTGCTTGAAAGAGAGTAGTGTATATGAGATTGGAAAGGTGGGTTGGACACAGATAGTGAAAGTCTTTAAATGCCAAGCAGAGGAGTTTATGCTTGATTAATAAAGAGGAAGTTTATTGAGCAGAGAGATAACATGATCGTTAGACCTGTGCTTTAGGAAAAAATCCCTTTGGCAGTTGTGTGTAGCAGTTCAAATAAAATTCAAATAAAAATGAGGGCCATTAATCTGTACATAAAGATCTCAGTGTCTGCATATTGTCTTAGCTTTCAAATGTAATATTTGTTTTATTTTGTTTTTTTATTTTGTTAAGTATTGCCCGGTTACATTTTAATTTGGTATGGCAGCACTTGGGAATGCTGTGAGAGTAGTGTTGAGGACTGCACACCTGGACTAGCTGGCACGTTTGATACCTCTGGTGTGGAGGATGAAATGGAGAAGAGAGAGACTTGAGGCAGGGAGACCAGCTTGGACGTTATTGCAGAGCCCAGGTGAAAGGTGATAAGGGCCTGAACCAGTGGTGATCAAGTTAATAGACAAAAGGGGATGATTGCAAGAGATATTATAGATAATAGAATTAACAAGATTTAGTAATTGATTGGATATCTAGGGTGAGGGAGTTTGAAGAATTGAGAATACCTCTGAAGTTGTATTCTTGAATGAATGGAAGATTGGTGGTGCCATTGACAAAAACAGGGTAATTGGGAATTAGGGACAAATGATTTTTAGGGGATGATGAGTTGTGTTTTGGACTGTTTAATTTGAGATGCCTGTGAGATATCCATTTCCAGATGTTCAATAGGAGAGAATCTAGGGCTAGATATGTAGATCTAGGGATTATCTCCATAAAGATGATAATGAAACTCATGGGAAGAGATGAGGTCACCAAGAGAGAGCCTGTAAAGAGAAAAGAGAACCTGTGACAAAGTCTTGAGGTAATAACCACAGTAAGGATGATGATTTAGGAAATTGAGGAGTGATCATAGTTCGGGAGTAGTAACACACACACCACCCCACCCCAAAACAAAACAGAAAAGGCTATCCACAAGAAGGTAGTTGTCTCTGTCAAATGTTGCTGAGAGGCAGGAGGATCAGGATTGAGAAAAGGCTATCAGATTTGGCAATCTGATTGATAATTGACAACTTTTGAGAGAGCAGTTTCAGTTGAGTGATGAGGTCAGAAACCAGGTTTAAGTGGTAGGATTGAAACTGGAGGCCTTAAGAGTACATAGCTTTTTTCTAGCAGTTTTGGCCATGAAAGGAGGAGAGATATAGGAATAGCTTTAGGGGATGATAGAGTCAAATATGAGTTGTGGAGCTTTTTTGTTTTGTTTTGTTTTTGTTTTTTAATGTGTTTATGTTCTTTAAAGAATGGAGGAGACCTGAATGTGTTTGTAGGCAGCAGGGAAGGATCCAGTAGGTGTAAAATTAGAGAGTTGATGATTATGATTGTAATCTCCTGGTATAAATTGGAGGTTTTTGGAATCAAAGATGCTTAGTAGGATTAGCCTTACTGAACTTTTTTCTACATACTCTTCATCCAAATACCAAAGCTCAATTTCATTTACATTTCATTTAGCTTTGTAAGACATTTGTAAATTAGAAATAACTGATATTAATCATTTTACGTTGGGTAAAATAAGGCACAAAGATTTAAGGTTTTCTAGAGAGTGGATTAGAGCTTTGATCTTCTGACTACCCTGAGGTCAGAAGGATAAAGATTGTTAATCCTTCCATTAGACAAGTGGTTCTTAAACTTTTTAGGTCTCCAGACCCTTTTACACTTTTAAAAATCATGGAGAACGCGGTGTTCCCTCCCTCCACCTCCCCCCCAAAAGCTTTTGTTTACTGTGGGTATTGATATTTGCTGTATTCAAAATTAAAATGTGTTAGTATTATCATGAAAATAGTTTTGAACTTAGAGACCCTGAGAACTGCTACATTATACTAACATAGCTAAAGAATATTGCAAATATTTGACTAACTTGTCTTAGGAAGTTTTTCATTTACTTTTTCTTCTTTGTTGTGTTATTTTCAAGTAGTAAACTTGTATTTAAATATTTTTCCAGAGGTGGAACAGGTTGGAAACCATTGACTGGGTCACAGCTGTGGGTGGCACTGGAAACATTCTGGTTCCTGGACATGCCCGGTGGAAGGAGGGGTCCTAGTCGGCAACAGCTAAGCCGTTCAGCTTTGCCTTCTCTACAGACTTTGGTTGGAGGAGGCTGTGGCAATGGAACAGGTCTAAGAAACAGGTATGGGCAAAATGATGCTATGTGCTATTTGTAATGTGATATGATCAGAAATCATTAGGCTGTAAAGAGGTATACCTCTTCAAAAATAATTCCAGAATCCCACTATTAAATACTGTTTGAAAGCTTTTGAATATTTTTAGAATGCCTTGGGTTTAGTAAGATTGTGGCAGAGGAATGCCATAGTTAGAGATTAGGAAATATAGTACTGTCTGTTTCTTGGTTAAAAAGAATATCCTACATTTCCAAAAGACTCATGATAGAAAATGCTATGCACATCCAGAGAAAGAACTATGGTGTCTGAATGCAGATCAAAGCATACTATTTTCTCTTTTTTTATGTTTTTTTTTCTTTCTTGTAGTTTTTCCCTTTAGTTCTGATTCTTCTTTCACAACATGACTGATGTGGAAATATGTTTAATATGATCATACCTGTATCAGATGGCATACCATCTTGGGGAGTGATAAAATTTGGAACTCAAAATCTTATAAAAGTGAATGTTGAAAACTAAAAATAAA